TAAGACTCTCAACACGTGCTACCAGCGTCATTGACTCCCGCTGTCGCAACGCACTAGCGAATCCTTTCGAATATTCGTCACGTGACCCCGCTGTCGTAACACACTAGCGAATCTTCTAGAATACTTGTCACGTGACCCTCACTGTCGTAACAATATTATATCAATTATAATAGCATAAAATCTTAGTTAATAATCCATATTTTAATAGTATATAAGTTTTAAGTTCTTTATTCTACAAGGCAATATTTCTGAAAATCCTGGATTTTCCCTAGTGTGACTCATGTGACAAATTTTCTCTTAGCATGTCATCTCCCCTATTTTATCTACCACCCCTGGAAAAAGTGCGAAATTAATAAAAAATTACTCTCTATAAAATCGTCATTACTCAGACAAACCATAATTTTTATAGTCTTCAATTTTGTTTGGTTACAGAACTATCAATTAGAAAATCAGACCTCTCCTGCCATGCCTACCTGTCACATCTTCTCTTTCAGAATTTGTTAATAGTTCTCTCTTACGTTTAATTTTATATTACCTATAACCAATAGAAATCTAAGGTTTTCATCTGTCAAGTAACATATTGTATAACATTATTTTCTGAATGATTAAATGTTAATTGTACTCAGAGTACCAACATTGCTCCCGTGAGAAAGTTAATGACTAGCTTTAATAAATTTGTAACGACTCTTGTCGCATAACTAGAAAGCAAGAATAATTTTTAGAGGTAAGAGAATTTGTCTACTTTTTGCATGTTATTAGTCTATATTCTTTGGTATATTATTTAATCAAATAAAAATTAAGTGCATTACTATCATTAGTATTAAAAAATTAGGGTTAACTCTCTTCGACAAAGGACAGCAAGAAAAAAGATTGTTTAAATATTTTATTTCTTGTTTTTCATGTTTTTTTCTTTATGTGTAATTATAAAAGTAACTAAAATATAAAAATAGAGATCCTTTTATGTTAGTTAAAATTAGATTAGGTAAAATAAATAATAATAATATTATAATAAAAAATGTTTCATGAGGCACACACGCAAGCAGACTGTATTAGCTAGTGGGTAATGTAATTAATTCATTAGCATAATGTGAGCTGCATGTTCCCCGAGTGACTTACAACTTATAATGGCATGGATAGGAGTTAGATATGGTTCAAAGTGCAATAAAAAGGGCAATAAAACAATAAAATTTAATTATAAATAGATGTATACTGTTACGAACCTAGAGTTACTTAGGATAAACAAATGTAGTTTTATGTTACAATTTGAAGTCAATCTAGAAAGAAAACAAGGGTTAGTTTAGATTTATTTATTTTTATTTTTTTTTGTGGTTACAAGGCTGGTCAAATTGACCGATTCTGTTTTGAGAAAATAACAGATAGTTTTACTGAAAAAAAAAACGTTTGAAATGCATTTAGGAGGTTTTAGGGATTACACAAAGGAAATTTGAGATTTTTG